TTTTCAAACAAAATGGTTGTTTGTTTGTCTTTGCCTTATTCCTGATTCACAGAAATAGGCAAAAAGGGGCAATTGTAAACACCATTTTATTTATTTATTATTATTATTATTTAATTTTTTTTCTTTTTTTTTCTTTTTCTCATTTTTTGCGTTTGTCTTCTTCTCTTTTCTTCTTCTTTCTTTCTTTCTTCCTTTTCCCTTTTTTTTTCATCCTTATCCAATTCAAATTTAGTGCATTAAATGCACAATCCCTAAAGTCAAAATCACTGCCGCTAGTTGTCAATGGCCGACCGACAAGCCATCAATCACGAACGGGCAAGCATGATTTTTCAATTGAAAAATGGGATTCGAATCCCAAAAGATCTGAGATTTGAATCCCAACAAGCTTTATAAATAGAGCTTGCAAACCAGAGACAGAACGGAAGCAAAAACAGCAAAAAAAAAGAAGAATCTGTCGAAAAAATTTTGAAAAAAAAATGCAAAATAATAGTCCCCTGGAACGGGGAACCCATCACCAAACTACACCTACAAAAACACCCAACAAAAACAAACCAGAAAACGCACAAGCAAAAAAAAATATTTTTTTCACCGAAACTTTGAGAGCAGATATAGGGAAATGAGGATTTTTTTGGTGAAAAAGAGATCAGATCTGAGCTCAGGAGGTCGAGAGGAGTTTGTGAGAATTTTTTTTGAAATTTTTCGGCACCGTTGACGGTGATCGGAGTTCGCTGCCGTTGAGGACCACGGCGGCCTTCACGACGGACGGCCACCGGTCCCAGGTCGCCTGAAAAAACAGAGGAAGAAAGGTTTTTTTTTTTTTTCGAAAGAAGGAAAGAATGAGTGAAAAAAAATTGTGAACCTTTTATGTAAATGCTCAGAATCAAAACGACGTCGTTTCATTAAAGGCCAAAACGACGTCGTTTTAACCGTTAAGGATCCACGTGTCAACCCGCGACCCTACCCAGGGTCCGCGCGCACCCGACCTGCGATCCGCTTCCTTCATCAGCCTCTGATCGGTCTGACTGGATCGGAACTGAACTGCCCAGATCGAATCGAGCCGATACTGAATCACCCAGACCGAGCAAAACCGTCGGACCGAACCGCGCGTTGACCGGTCCGATTCAGGTAAAAAAAAATTTTTTTATTATTATTTATTAATATTTATGCATATTAAAATATTTATATTTGTTAGATTAAGTGATGAAATTGTGGTTAAATTTTTTTATATAATTATGTTAATTTTTTAAATAAAACTTTAAAAACAATAATTAAAAATTTAATAATAATACTAAAATAATAAAAAATGTAGGAAAAGAATATTTTTATCCGACGATGAGATTCAAAGGTATTTCGAGTAGTGATGCCTACGAAATCTCTAGATGAGAAGATTTTTTTAAAATACTACCAGTGTATTGGAGTATTTATAAAAAATTTTCAATACAGTAAATATTTTCTTTTTAAATAATAAATAAAAATTGGTTAATAAATTAAAAATATATGTAATAAAAATAGGAAGGAAAGAAATTTAATCCAATGATAGGATTCTAAAAGTATTCCGAGTAGAGATGCTTTAAGAAATCTCTAGGTGAGAAGATTTTTTGTAAAATATTACTAGCGTATTGGAATATTTATAGAAAATCTTCAATATAATTAAATTCCTTTTTCTTCAAAATTTTAAATAAAAAAATTAATAAAACAATTAGTAAAATTGCTAACAAAGGAGAATAAAATGTGTGCATA